CTCCATGCCTCAGGCACCTCCTGGTGGCCAACCAGCCTCTCTGGTCCCTGCTCAGAGTTCATAGGCCATAGGTATTGTCTAAATATAGAAGATTTAAGCCTCTCTCTGTATGCTGCTGCTTCTCTGTTGAACAGCAGGCAGCAGGGCAATGCCAGCTAGGTGGTAGAACTTATCTAGAGGGGTAGGCTTAAGGCATCCAATAATACTTCTGCTGGCTTCATTCAGAGCAATGTGTACTTTTCCATCATGTGCTGATCTATACCAGACTGGGCAAATGTATTTGCGTGAGAAGTAGCAAAGAGCTACTCTTTAGCAGGTGAATCACAGATTAAACAGGCCCACTGGGAAAAGAACTCTAATTCTGATTAGGTGTTTCAAAAATAAGGTTTTTAAAATGAGATTTTAATTCACCAACAATTCACTGGTTCTCTCCTGAAACAGAAATTGATCATTATTGAGTGTTCCTGTTCTTAGAAAATACAGGGATTTCCACCCATCTAAAGATTATGTATTAATAACAGCAACTATATTTTTTGCTTCAGCGTCCATATAATAGCTGATTGACTAGTAGCCATGTTAATTTCTTTTATTTCTTTAGTTTTTCACAAATGTCCTGAAAATTTATTTTGTATGTGATCTGGAGAGAAGGACGTTGTCCCCTGCACTAGGGAGCAATTTTTCCTACTATGAGGGAGAGGAGTCTCCTATCAAAATATTTGGAAGTCCTCCTTGGTCTCCTCTCATAATATTTCAAAAATCCCTCCTTGGATCTAAAACATTGTAATAAAACATTACAATTAAGTCATATAGGCTGGTGCATATTTCCCCTTTTCCCAAAAATGTTCAACCTAGAAGAAATGGATATTGCCAACCAGAGATGGTAATAGACATCAGTTTGACTATTTTCAACACTATCTAGAAAAAGTTAAATTACTGTATTAATTATTTTTATAGTCAATTATTACTTGCTAAAGTAATTTTTATTATAATACAGTATAAGAAAGTCCAAACTAATCCACTGAATTCATATTTTAAATCTTCTCATATTTTTAAAAACCCATTTACTTAATGTGAGAGTTTTATATAAAATTGTAGAGCTGTATTTGATTTTTCATTATTCGAACATGAACAATTTTTTATTGTGTAATCCTATGAATTTAAAAACAAATATGCTTGAAAAGTAGTTGTAACTAGTGAGCAATTCTTCAGAATATTTCTAACAGAAATAGGTTTACCATAAATAAAGACATAAATCTTATGGATTTTATTTTCCAATTCCTTAAATTAAACATGTGTATCCATGTGTTAAAAACCTGGGTGATCAAGGAATGGGAGAATACGCAGAGTTTCAGGGGCAAAATTTCCTTTTTTCAAATTCTAAGAGACATTTCAGATATCTATTGTACTTGTACTAATTATTAATTTCTTCATATAATGCAAGAATATACAGCTATAACAGAGTCTGACTAATATAAACTCCATTCATATCCATTAAACACGATATGTACCTTTTTTTTAGCAAATTAATTTAAGTATAAGGCTATCTTATAGAACCAACAGATTACAGTTCACATGTTCAGGAAACAAAAGGAGGGCAGCACTGAGAAAATTTAAATCTGATGGACCAATTAAAATGAAAAAAATGCTCTGTTATTGGACTGCATTTGATCATACCTTTATAGCAAAACTTTTTCTAAATCATGTCCAGGAAATATTCATATAAAAATTATTAATATTTAGGTTGTACTGATAAGAAAATTGAGATATTTTAGTAATTACTATATTCCCCTAGAAACTAATGGGAATAAATGTTCATTTAATTGATAATAATCATGATGCTAATTATTTTAATATTTCCCCATACTTTATTTAATTAACTGTTAATTGATCAACATTTGATTTTTATTTCCATTATCATTTTATACCACTTAGGATTCACTGGACCCAGAGGAAGCAGAGGTGCTCCAGGAATACCTGGGGAAAAGGGCCTTGTAGGAAATCCCGGTTTGCCAGGTTTGCCAGGCCTCCTTGGGGAAAAGGGGCTTGCAGGTGATGTTCTAGGAGCACCATCAGGCTTTCCTGGGGACCCTGGGCCACCTGGACTCCCAGGAGCAAAAGGCCCGCAAGGAGATCAAGGCTTACCAGGAATTAAAGGTAACTGTGTCTTAGATTACATAAAGTTAATAAGAGAAAGAAATGGTACAGTAGGGCCTTATACATTAGAATAAAGAGGGTGGCAGAAAGCTAAAAAGACAGAGTTGGGTATTGGAGGAGCCACTGGGGTGCTAAGGTTCTAGAGGATCTGGAGCAAGATAAAATAGGCAAGGAGCCATGTGGTATAGTTCCAATGACAAGATAGTCTCGCATAATGCCCAGGGTGCATCATCAGCACTTATCTATGGTTTCTGGGGAGAACTCCAGTAATCATGACTGGATTGGCACCAACGCAAACAAATTTTCAGAATGACTTTCCCAGACCTTTTTTAATGGTGTTGTCTCAGGCTATGTACTCTTCAGCATCTTCATAAATGATCTAGATGAGAGGATAGAAGGGAACTCATTTGCAGATGACATCAAGCAGAGGGGATTAGCTAATTCTTTAGAAGATAGACTTAAGATCTAGAAGGATCTTGACAGACTTGAGCATTGGGCCCTAGCTGACAAGGTGCAGTTCAATGGTGAGAAAAGTAAGATCCAACACTTAGGCAGGGAAAACCAAATGCATAGAATAGGTAGGTACCTGGCTCAACAGTAGTACCAGTAACTGTGAAAGGGCTCTAGGTGTTGAGTGGATAACCACTTAAATATAGCCAGCAGTGTGCTGCAGCTGAAAAA